TGCTTTGAACGCATTTCTTGGTAACACTGACATTTTTACTTCAAATTATTTACTTTTTTCCTCTTGTATTGATAAAATCACTTCCTCCTATTCCCTGGGGTAGATTTGTGTGTTTTTGTACTTTATTCTCACCCATGTGTTCTTTCCTCTTCCCCTCCTCCCCCTCCATTCATTCATATGCCTTGCACACAAGCACACACTACCTCTGTAAGGGAAGAGGTTCTGCTGGGTCACAGAGCCTGCTTTCTCTCCCAGCAGTGAAATGGGCTTTGAAGTCATGAAGGACCCTTAGAAAATTTTAAAGAGAAAAAGCCCTCCAGCATAAACAAGCCTAGAATGAGAGAGATGATTTTCTAGAAGTTTGTTTGTATTGTAGTTGTATGATGCAGTCTTAATTCTCCTTGGCTGCTAGGAAGAATCTTGCATCTAAGAGTTGTTGGCTTACTGTAGGCTTTCTTGCATTCATGTTAAGTTTCTCACTACTAACTGACCACCTATTATGCCTGCATTTATGTGAATTCATACCACCATATGGTATGTGATTGTCAGGTGGCATGAATCACATTTGTGCAAGGATAGTATTTAAATGAGAAGACCTGAAGATGTGAAAACTGCAAAGTGATTCAGTAGAGCTCTGTTCTGAGTCATGCCCAACTATGTTTTAGCTTGTTCTGTTGTTGGACAATGTTGTCTTTTTAAACGCAGCTTAAAACTGAGGTCATGATGGCTTTGTGGGTTGTTTTTTTTTTTTTTTAAATTGAAGACTTCATTGCAAGAGTAGGGTTGCTAGTCTTCATTGCAATGATTTCAGATATGGCATCTTTTTCTCCAGGGAACTTACTTGCAAAGGCTTCTTCCTGTTCCAAACAAGTGTTCTCTTGGATTTCTGTGGTGGTAGCATACCTTTCTAAGGAGCCTATATTTGATCTTGAGGAAGAACTGATCTGTTCCTGTTCTCTTGCTCTTCCTGCTCCAACAAATAACTTGAAATCCTTTAGAATGAGACTGCTTTATGTACCTGCTATAAGCCATATTTTAAGGCACTCTGGAGGTCTTTGCATTGGACAGCAAAGACATTTTAAATCATGCTGTTTTTATTTTTATGGCTTAGTGTAGGCTGGGGAAGCCAAAAAGCAGACTGGGTACCAGCAAATATTACAGTGGAGCTTACAGAAGCCCTAGCTTCATGGAGATGTGGCTACTGATTAGGCTACAGCCTTCAGTTAAATTATTTTGGAGCATTGATAAAGCTATTGGGACCTGTAGCCTTAATTGGGTCATCCTCCTTTATAACAATGTTAGCAGCTTTTCACCATGTTTCTTTCATGTAGCTACTTTAGTTGCTCCTTTGGTGCTTGATACCATGGGACTTGATTTGTGCAAAGCTTGAGTTTCCTGTGCCTGAGGTATTGGATTTTTGAAGATGATGGTTAAAGCTACATCTATTAACAACCTGTTTTTCTTAATTACATTTGGCTGACTTCATGCCTATGACTGCAGTATCATATTGTTTCACTGAAAACATCCATAGAAGCAGAACTGAGAATAAGAGGATGCCAAGTATTTAACTACTGCTTTGTCATAGGAAACTAAACCTGTACCAGCATCAGTGTACCCCTTCCTTCCCAGTTGTGCAAGTCTAGAACTGGTGCTTAGATGGATGCATTGGGAAAAGTATAGTGATTCAGAACATTTTATGCCATAATTGCAAAGCATCAGACTTCTTTATCTGATTCTCCCCCCACATCAAAATCTTAGTTCTAATATCCTGTTGGAATATAAGTAAAACACTATAGGGGAACACCAATTGGCAGCCTCTGGCCCACAGGCTGATCTAGCCCATCAAACCTTTTGACATGTCAGTGGCTTTCCCTTGCTGCCATAGGGCAGAGAGCACTGGCTGTCAGCACACTCCCCATGCTCCTCTGGGGAGCAGTGGCACTTGTGCTGTGGATTGGGTTGGTCCAGCCTGCAGCCTTCAAAGCTTGCAGACTGCTGCTGGGTAGGGAGTAAAACAATGCTTTAAAGTAAAACATTGTGAATAGGGAAGTGGTGGGGAGAAAAAGGTGGGCTTTTTTATTTACTGTTTTGAGTAAGTACTAATAGTATTCCAGTTGAAAAATTAGCAGAGAGGAGGCTCAAGATTTAGTATCAAAACTCTGTAATAGGGTTCAGTAGACTTTTTTTATTGGAAATCCTGGTTCTTTGGTGGTATGGCCATTAGTTTTTGTGAAAGTGATTCAATGCATTAGTGATTGTGTGGCTTCTATTCCTTGTCTCTTAATATTTTGGGTTTTGTCAGGTTTTTATCAGTTGTGACCTTTGAGACATTTGGGACCCTAGAAGTGCAAGTTTCATAATTTCTTGATAGCTTTTTTTACCAAGATAAATGATTTAAGTGTGAAACTTTGCACCCATCAGTTCAAGTTGAAGTGTGGTGTTCAAAACACCAGTCTGATGTCTTAATGGCTAGGGGCAGAAGTTACAAACTGGTATAAGTAATCAGAAACCAGTTCAGATCTGTTCAACAGAAATTCACTGCACATAATGTAGCTTCAGATGGCTGAAACTGGTTTAAGGTAAGTCTGGATGGATGTAGTATCAGACTTAACTGATTTAGGTTAAATTTAGTTTGTTGAACTTCTGTCCCAGATCCCCTCCAGATTCAAGTTAACTCAGTCCCCCAGCATCCCAGGATGCTCTGCACCTTCCCTCCTTGCAGGGTGGGTGGGCTAGCCTTGGCCCAAGCTGTCTGTTCTGGTTGAGTAGGGAGATATGCTGCTTGGGCCGCTGCAGGCATATAGCTGCATTTCTGGAATCAAAAGTGAATGTCTGTTCACTTGCTTATTGGTTCAATCCATACAGCTTAAACTAACTGGCGTAGACTGAATCGGTTCAGCCTCCAACTTTTTGACTGTCTGTACTTGGCCAGTATGATGAACTAAAAGCACATCTGGAGAAGACTTTTTTTTTTGTAACTTTTAATATAGACAAGTTTGCCTAAAGAATTTCCAGGCTTTGTTGAACTTCTTAAACTTGCATAATGGAGAGGGAAACTAATGTTATTAAGTACATGGGTGAAGTTGACAGTTTTAGCCAATGCAGAATTTTAAAGCTAGTTACATTCCATTAAAAAAAATTAAGAAATTAATTAGTATTTTCATCATTGAGATGCACATGCTTAATTGTATAGTCCCTCATTGGACTTAAGGTCTCCAAGTGTAAAACTCCATCCGTATAAGTCTTGAGAAATAAATACTTAAGGAAAAAGTGCTTTAATGAATATCTAATGAACAGATGGTAATAACACCCTGTCTCTAAAAGAAAATAGTTGTCCTTTAAATTTAGAGAGAAGCAATCACAGATTTTTATATGTTCATTCCTTTTTCCTTATGCATATATATATAAAACAGCCTTCTGGCTAATAAACATCCCGGTGTTTTTTGTTTTTTTGTTTTTGTGTTTTTTTTTAACCTACCCTCAAAGCCTTCTAGGTTTGGTTGGTTGATTTTATTTTTTTTTCCCCCCAGTCTTAATTTTCAGTCTGAAGTTAAGCTATAGCACAGATGTTTAAAAAACAAACACACACAACCCCCCCCCACCAACTGTGTAATAAACCACCATGGAAAAGCTTTCTAAAATGTCTTTCATTGTTGCTTTGTGCTTTTAAAGCAAGATTCAGAAAAGCTGGGAAGTAAATGGCACCACCTCCCCACCCCAACCCCCCCAAACCCATGTACAAATTCCATAGGCTTATATGGAAAGGGAAGAGGTGCTCACAGCATTGGTTGTCTACAGCTGGTCCATGGTTGAGAAGAAGTCCTGCCTGGCCAGGACTGGGCTCTGGGGGCCTCCAGCAACCCCCACCTAAACCCATCATACTCTGCACACCTGATCTGCTGTGCAGGGCCCCAGCCCACAGGGCTCCCCATAGGTCTCTGAAGAGCCCTGCAGATATCATTGGGCCAGGGGGCCAGATCAGGCCAAGGGTCAAGCACCCCTGACTTTAGGGGAATTTGCTTTTTTAGCTGGAAAATGGGGTTACTGGCATGTGTGATAAAGGGCATATGCTGAGATTTAAAAAAATACTATTACTGGCTTGGGGATCTTCTAACATTACAGTAAGCTGTAAGATTGGCTCAGAAAAGC